ATGACACATCAAGAAATTTTCTGCTTTGCTCGATTTTCATGAGGGGGGAGTTAGCATTCCTATTTTGTTGTCTATGTCCTGACCACAGTGATGTTGATATGGATAGACATTAGGGGCCGGGGCTTACAGAAACCTTTATAAAGGCAGAAAACCGGGTTCCCTCTCGCTGCACAGGAACTTTAGCATGATTACTCAGCTCTCACCCAGTCTGTGCCTCTTGGCAGCTCTCACTGGCCAGCTTCAAATTTAAGGTGGGAGGGGGGCAATGTCCAGTCAGGCCATGGACAATTTCTTGAGGTGTCAATAATGTCCTTCTTCTGCCTCAACTGGTTAAGGAGACACTTGTGTGAATCCCCACGGGATCTCTGGAGCACCGGGTGGAGGGGGACGAGGGTGGGGGTCAGTTCTGGCAGGCCTGGGGGAATACCATTGAGCTGAAGGAAGGAAGGTCCTGGATGGTCGTGTTCCCCACACTATTTTGGAAGAGAAGAAGATGGGTCGTAGTCGGTAGCCGGCTCCAGATGCTCAGGAGCCAAGGTCTTTTGAAGCAAAATGGTGAACAAACTTCCTGTGAGCTCGCTGGTTCTTGCTGGTGCCCTTATGCCCTCCGTGTTCTAGAATCCTTGAAGCCAGCAGCTGCTCAGATCTGGGAGCAGCGTTCCAACCCGTGAAGATTCCTGAGACCCTGTCTGGCTGGGTACTAGACCGTGCCTGCCCCAAACTTTTTTGGAGGAAGTGTTGTTTCTCCCGCTTCGATTCATCCGAGAAGTACACTCCTGCCCCTCTCTCGCCGGCCAAGCGGTGACCTCAAACCCTGTGCCTTCCAAAGGACCGAAAAAGCAACTCACTCCAGGGTGCCACCTCCAGAGTGAGTCCCTCGGGCTCTTTAGGAGCGCCCTGCCGGCCGGCCAGACCCAGCACTCCGGGCGAGCACCGAGCGGGCTGAGAGCGTTGGCCAAGTCCCCATGCTATTTTGGATGGGAAAGGAGTCTCACACTCGTTAGAGTAGAAACTTGTCTACTGTAAGGTAAAATGAGCAGCAGTAACTTTAAGACATTTTGAAGATAATCTTTCTCCTGCGAACTTTGAAACTAAACAGGCGGAGACGATTATTTTAGGTAATTTTAGCAACACTCAGGGGAACAAGGAAAGCTTGTGTTCCCAGAGCATTCTCTGGGGGCACTGAGTGCAATTCTCTAGGAGGCTCCACTTTTCCAGAAATTTGTSCCCAGCCTTTCAGTCTCCCTGCTGTTCCTCAATAATGCCCTGCCACGGGGAAATCAGTCGGACCAACGCAACCGAGGGAAAAAAAAAATCCTGCTCGGCTCCAGATGCCCGGGAATATTAAGGGGAAACCAAGAGCTGCGGAGACACCCACACTGCCCCGCCATCAGCACCAGGAGAGGGGTGGGAGYTCTACGCCTGCGGGCGGACTTGAGGCACGAGAGCTACGCGGCTAGTCCCTGGCGCTGTGCGGAGACCTCCGGGGGGCACCCCATTTCCCACTGGTGTAGGCCGGGAACCCGGTTCAAGAGCCTCTTGGGAGGGGCTACTTCCGGAGCGCCCTAGACCACGCCCACCCGAGCTTGCCACGCCCACGGTTCTGCTTGTACCGCCCACTCCACTGTCGGGGCCGCCGGCTTTGAACTGAGGAAAAGTTTGGGGGCTGGGAGGGGGATAAACTTAAACAGGTGGCAGAGTAAAGGCCGAAGCGGGCTTCAGTATGGAGCCGGGAAGGGGCTGTCATTTAAGACATGAATCGCAAGTCTTTGGAAGCAGCCAAGCTTCAAAAAAGCTCAGGGCCCAGAGGGCATCGGGTCTCAGGCCTCGTCCATTTGTGGTTGGAGAGCGAAAGGGTAAGACCTTCGCATCACTTTCCTGTACTAGTATTCCTGACCAACTCCAATCGTCCCGAGTCAGAGGAGCTAAGAACTGTCCCACGCCCTTGACAGGCCGGGTTTCTTTAAAAGGTGCAGTGCCTTCCATAGAGACCTGTTAAAGCGTCTAGACGCACGGCGTCAAGATGCGGTGCAATGTAAGTACGTGGAAAACCAGTTTACCAAAGGAAGTTTCAGTAAAGCTGAGGGGTCTTATTTTCCCAAGGGAGATGCTGGCCGGGGCTGGCCTTTGCTACAGACCGAGATTGCACTCTTCGTTGCGTGGCCCCAGTTGCGGGTATGACAATGGTTGCAAGAAGGCGAGTCACCAAGGGTGTTCTGGTCCCCGGTTCCACAGCTGGGGGTCTGCAAGTTTCAGGGGTCCCAAGGGTGGGGACGCGAACCCAGCGGCCTCTTTGTCGCGGTGKGTTGCAGGCCGGAGGGGTGCGTCCGCTGGAACGCGGGAGGGGTCGCAGGACCCCAGCCACAGCGCAAGTCAGAGGCCTCCTTGGGGAAAGGTAAGAGCTTTTGACCTCCAGACACTTGGCATCTGATGCTTGACAAGCATCCGGCAGAGGAAGGCCAAGTAAGCCTGCCTTGATTTCCCAGCGCCAGAGCAGTGGCACATCTGCAAAGGCTCAGCTAGGGACRTTGAGCACAGCCAACCCCGCGGGCACTTTGCCCGACACGCCCACTCTTGCACTCAAGTGTTCTGTGCACTCGTACATCCCACATACTACTCGGTAGATCCCGCCCGTGGGAGTGGTGGGACTAAGTAGAATTGCTGGTCATCTCGAAGGTGGAGAGCTTTTGAAAAAGTGATCACACCTCGAATGTTTATTATGTTAAAATACAGCGGTCAAGATTTACAGTCTATGCGCTACCTTGCATCTAGAATTGGGTAAGTTCATAAGGCAGTTCTCTTGGGCCAAACCTTGGTCCTGTCTGGCACCCTCCCCCTAGCAGTCAAGAACAAATGCTGGAGGAGGAAATCTGAACGTCACTCCACTCTACCTGGCGCTGGAGGAAGGCTCCCGGTCTCTTGCTATGGAGGTATATGGAAGAGAGAACTACCAACCTGTGACCCAGACTGGCCCAATAGTCTTGAGCCCCAGCCATCCCGCTGGGAATGGCCCTTCTGGGATGTATCGCCAATAGTTGTCCCTTGCACGCCCCCCACCCCCATGCCGCACTACACTAGGCGTCAGGTGAGGCAGGTAGGTGTACCTCAAGGCTTCTTTAGCAAAGAGAGGTGCTTCCCAAGCGAGAGGCCTGGGTTCCAGGGCTCTGCCCGCCCAGGCTCACAGAATCGGGTCTTCAGTGTGAACCAAGGACCTAYAAGGTGCTCAGTCTCAGACCACTGGCACATTACCCAGGCTCTGTCAAGCTTTTCAAGAAGTGCACAGGCACTGATGGGAACAGTACTAGGAGGACCACTCCCCTATTGAAGGGCCAAAGCGAACTTCAACAACCCCCTTATTAGCATGCTGGTCTGACAAACTCAGGAATCCTCAGTATTACTCAAAAAGGGAGGGAGGGGCTGGAGCCCGAACGCTCCGGTGAGCAAGAGACCCTCAACTCTGAGAACGCCACCAGCAACCCCTGGAGGTGGCGGCTAGGCAGCCAGGTTCCCTTTTCTGCGTCCCTGCAGCCTCCCAGTGTCGCCGCCACAATAGCTACAGCTACAGCCACCGAAGGGCACACTGCTGCAGTAGCAGCAGTCTGACAAGTGTGATAAAATGATCTTCCTTAACTAAACTCGTAAAGCACTGGGYAATAAAACTCAATCTTCTGTAAAATCCAATTAAGTCATTATCTGACTGATTGTATCTTTAATTGAAAACAGAAGTGACAGTAAATTTCTGTGATATATCAGGATCAATCGATACCACTATACGATTCAGCCCCAAGAAGTGATTTATAATGTCAAACCTATATAGGTAACTCCACATTATTCTCTCTAAAACCACTGGTGGATGAAATTAAGAGTAAGTGCATTTAATAAAAAACAAGATGGTCAGGTTATTGATTACAACAGATGGGGGTGAAATCAAATAGATGTTTTCAAAGCACAGAGCGAAGAAAATACAAGTAATTTCTTTTTTCCTGTTTAATACCGCTCACCCAAATATACACACAAGAAAATTCAGTCATCAATAACATTTTTATTTTCAGGTACAGCTGCAACTACACAGAACAATGAATTTTTTTTAGACAAGTTTCATTTCAGGATGGCTTCTGTTACATAAGGAAGTACTCCATAAGCAATTTTTAACAAAATAATGAACTCAGAAATTTGAAGTAACTTTTAAAGATGTACCTACTTTCAAATCAAATTACAACTTAAGGTTACAAAATAGTCTAGATTGCATCCATTTTTTTTTTCTGTACTAGAAAGAGTGTAGAGTGTATGTTAAACTCATTATTCTATAAACAACACCTAGAAGCTTTGCCTCACTGGGGTTACTTTAAATGGTGYTGTTTTCAAATTATCCTTTACAGAAAAAGTAGCTATTCTAAAGGGCTGTACCTTTTTCTCACCATATTTCAGTTATGTTTTGTATTGGGGGGTAGGGCATGGCTATTTCCAACAGCAAACAAAAACAGTATTTCCATTTACCCTGACTTTCTGCAGATTTCTAAAATAATAATTTTGCCTGCTCTTTTCTTCCCACTGGTCATTTACTTGGCTAAATTTATATTCTTGCAATTTTAATAAAATACTAATTTTTTAAAAAATCTAAGGCACCTAAGATATTTCATTTTTAAAACAAAAGTACACTAATTATGACTAATTTAGACACAAATATGTGGCTTTACTTGAGCAAATTACTGACTGTATTTCCTGAAAACTACATGTAAACCAGTGTCATTAAAAAAAAAAATGAGGGGCACTACTATTTAAACTCCATGAGCAAAGCACTTAATTCTTGCAGATGGTAGTCATGAACCCTAAATTATTACAAGTGTGTTTTACCTCTCAACTAAACTCTAAGGAGTACAAACCAAACACATTCTCAACTGTTAAGTCAGCATGAATCAATGCAAAATAACAACAAACCCTGTGGATAATGGAATAAGCCTGCTTTTCCAAGTGAACTGCCAAATGCAGCCAGCRGCCGCTCACTCATCCTCCTCGATGACCGGAGTGACCGTGAAGCTGCTGGGCTCCGAGGCAGACTCACATTCGAGAACCCCCTTTGTACTCTCATTACTAATAGGAGAGCTGCTGGAGAGGGAAACCAAGCCAGAATCTTGACTGCTGGGCGGCGAGAATACTGGGAAGTGGGGAGAGAGAAAGGAGAAAAGAGTATGTTAAAAGTGGCTAGTCTTTCTACATTCAGTATTCAATTAGGTTTCAACAAAGAAAGAGGCACTCTCCATTGCTGTTCTGAGTTGCAAGTGTTTTTTACAAACCCTCATTAAAATTTCCAGTGCTTTAGGATGGGGGGAAAAAAAGCGGAGGTTAGGTAGCAGAATCCCAACTTTACTTTTTTTTTTTTTTTTTTTTTAAGTCCGCTCTACTCTCTTTGGGAAACTATTTCCACCCCTCACTGAGTCCCTCTCCTTTATGCTAATGAACTTGTCAATCAAGTGATCCATCTGAGAAAGTATTTCTAAGTAAGGCTCCACCCATGTTTTTCCACTGTTGGACAGGCAAGATCTAGTGAGGATAACAAATCAATTTTTCTATTATTTCTCTTGGTTACAACCAGACAATAAACATGGGGGTTGCATCAGCATTATGACTTTTTTAAAAAGTAAAAAAAAAAAGTGGGAGTAAATGGGGGGGAAATTTTTATAAATGGAAAAAATGAAATTATATCACTAAAGTATAAGTCAGGAAAAGAGGATTTTTGAGAAACACATAAACACAAAAATTCCAGTGGGAAACTGACATTAAATATGAAGGATGCAAAAGTAATAATGTGTTGAACAAAATTTTGCAACCTTACAAGTCACAGTAGATACAAAATTTAAGCAAAAGGGTCTCTGACCTTCTTAACCTTAGCCCAGTTTAGATCCACCCCCAGAACTCCCTTCCTGACTAGTGTGAATGTAATTAAGGGGAAGCTGCAGTGGTAATTTCTCTCCTCATTAACTTCCTGATTGGTTTCAGCCTCAGGATTCTGCCGGGCAGTAGTTTGTCACCAATTCCAAATGGCCAATCGTTAATACTAATGTTTGTGTAACTAACTGCCAGCATCTGCCACGGCTTCTTGTACAACAATAATGGTGAAAGGGTACATTAGTGCTCCTGTGTTAATTCAGCTTGTGTTCATCAATAGGGAAATCTATGATGTAATTAGCAAAATGCATTGGGAGCTGAGTGCTGAAGTCATTTGTAGAGAACTAAATCATAGTAGAAGCTGTACTGGGTCCTGATGTGTTTGCCATCAATACTTATTATGTTTGGAATTTAATAAGGTATATTACCAGGCTGAAAAGAGACCTTTTTACAAGAGAACACCATTTATGCTTGTTACGGGTTTGGAAAAGGTTTGCTGCCGCTAGTAGAATCACACAGAAATAAAAGAGAGCTACGATTTAAGAAATGGACCTTTGGACCAAATTATTCCCAAASGCTCCCTCTCTCCAGTGTGACAGACAGATGATAGTTTTGTATAGTTACCTCAGTATCCAATGAGGAAAGGGGTGATCTGAAAACTTAGTACGATAATAAATTTGAAAAGTAACTTAGGCAATTTCCTGAAAAGCAATCTCTTTTGTATTGAGGGTATCTGTGTAGTCTTTAGTAACTTAAATAAAAAGCAAAACGTGCTTTAAAAGGGGGGAAATAATCATAAATAGTATTTTACAGATGTCAAAAAAATGCATGTACATATGTAAATATAGTACCAGCAACCAAAAGCTGGGAACCTGAACTCTTTATTGCAGTGCAGAACAGCTTCTTACAAAATCTGATTTGTTATATGGATCTTAAACCCCCTGCAAATTCAAGGTGATTTATGAATTGTGTGTACATGCAACTGATTGTTATATAAATACACAGCAAATATGTTTTCCAAAAGTAGTAGACTCTGCTCTGAGATCTTGCTACTATACATATCTGGAGAGCCCAGTGAAGAGTCTGTGAGTWAAGCTGCTGACTCCCATCCCAATCCAACCACTGACAGGGTCTTCTCTGCATACAGGCCAYGCATGGGGAAGGAAGTTACATTACTGACTACTCTCTGCATGCCACATGAGGGATTTCACCCTCAAAGCACTCAGAGAATTATTYTCCCCATTTTTATATAGGGATCCTGACTCTCTGGCATGCCCTTGCCCCTGCAGCATTCTACCCTTGGGCACCATGCTTTGGGAACTGGCCACTGAACCCTCCCAACCCTTGTGTGAGTTTAAGGGAACTCTGTCAGACTGATTTGGAGACTCCACAGGAATAGGTGTTCTTCCAACATGTTCTAGGTCCTGGGATTGGTAAACCTTCAGTTAGAATCTGATGGAGAAGATGCCCCCACCCTCCTCATTTAGTCAATTTGGGACTGAAATGAGGACGGATGAGAATTTTACAAAAGAAAGGAATCTGGAGATAGTTCAGTTTTACTCTCACTTGCCTTGTGGGTATTTTCTTGGAAAGTGCCCCGTGGCTTGGGGCTACAGAGACACATGCAGATGTGTCACCTGCATACAGCAGGAAGGCTCCCAGCATACTTAACGCATGACTGCACTCCAGAGAAGATGTAAATAAAGAACTTAACCTGTTTTGAAAAGCACCTGCATTTTTTAAAGTGTTTCTCCACTCAGAATTTTAATCCATGTTATTTCTATGTTTGTTCAAGGCTTAGTATTGTCTTTGAATAGGCTGCTGAAGTTAGGGATAGTATCTGTTTTAACTCATTTTGTATAGCACCTCGTAAAAGTTCCAAATGCCTACAAAGATTTAGTGCTAAAGGTAACCTGCCCATTTTAATGCAACTTAAACTGTTTTGGGGGCAAGAGTAACAACTGTCCGTTGTAAATTATTTTATACCAATCAGAAATTCAAAAACTCAAAAATGATTTTATTTTTGCTTTTTTAAAGGTTGACAAATGGATAATATAGGGGGCTAATTTCAACTCAAAAGGTTTGTCTTAATTATTTTGTAAAAATGCTACTAACTCCTAGTGTCGGTGGCAATGTTGGGGAAAGATAATACTGCTAGTAGTTCAATCTTTCTGGACAGCAATCTACTGACATGTAATAAAAGCTGTAAAACTGTTCAGCCCCTCTGACCTAGTAATTCCACTCTGGGGAATAACCCCAAAGGAATAAAGAAAGAAAAATTAGCTCAGAGATGCTCAACACACCACTGTTTGCATGGATGAAGATGTTTGTGCGTTGTTCTTGTGCTTTGGGGGGCGGGGAGGAAAAAGGGGGCAGTTGCATTGGAGGAGGGTGCAGGAAGCATTCACAGGCAATAACCAATTAAGGATTATGCTAACCTATAATCACTGCTAGCCTCCTGGCATTTACAGAAATGGAAGAAATGACTTCTGGAGAGCAGAGTGGAGATTGACAAGTAAAGAAAAAGTAAAAAGGAAAACTTAACCATCTGATCTTTTTTTGTGTTACAATAAAAGGTGGGTAAACCAAATAGGCTGACCCTTGTTTGAACCAAGCAAGTCTAGTATCTGTTTTTCTCAAGTAGCCTATTTGTCCACAGCAGCTAAAGGGCCATTCTTTTATTATTTAAAAGCAAACGTGAAAACTCCTTACCAATCATTCTTACTAATGTGGGGGTGATACTTAAGATGATTTGGTGATGCCATCTGAACATTTTGGAAATTTTGGGAAAATATTACATATTACCAAAGAAGGAAAAAAAAAAAGAAAAGAAACCTTCAAAAAAAATAAACAAAACCACTCCAACTGCTCAATCTTTTGACATTGCAAAGACCCCTGACTTTTAACTTGAATGATCTGTTGGAAGTCAATGGACTGGAACGAATAATTCTCTTCTAGTGATGTGGGAAAACACGATAGATATTCATGCTTGAAAAAAAACCATGTTCTTCTATATGTTAAATACTATTAAACTCCTACCAAGAAGCCATTTAAAAATAAAATGCCAAGAGGAATTCTCCAGTGGTTAGCAACTCTGCAGCTGGCTGCTGGCTGCCAAGGAAGACAGACTTAGTGTGCTGGTCTCTTTGGCTTAGTAGGTTGTAGGCTTAAGGAAGTCTGATAGAAAGCTGCTCAAAATTTCTTAAACAAATTCTTCCGCTTCACCGTAACCATAGTGTTTGGAAATAAAATCATGCCCAATCAATACCACTTAGCAGATATTTAATGTTTCACAATAGAACACTTTTCCACAGAGGAACTGCTGCCCTTCTCACTAACATTTAAAATAATTAGGATTATCCCAGCTGCTGGAGCTTGGCAGGTTCAGTTTGTACTTTCAAACAGCATTAATTCTTGGCATCAGAACAAGGGATAAAAGGTAAAGATATGAATGGAGATCTTTATTCCACCTGATCTATCATGGATTAGCTCATTCTTTTCCAGTTCATGCCTGCACTCTAGTTAGGAGGAAGGCTGAGCTGTAACTGATGTAATTAGAAACCACAAGCTGAGAAAAAAATAGCCCTTTATTAATCTTTCCCATTTACTATAAATTTACTAAAAACGTAATCATCTTTGAAACAATTAAATGTGTTTTTCATCTTAAGTGGAACTGAAGTGTAGAGACGAAGGAGAGGCTCTATTGGATAATGTTCTCCTTAAAACCATATCTGAATTGTCAGTTAAAAAATCCAACACCAGTTTCATAAGGGGCCAGCACTTTTCAAAATGCACTTGGCATTTTGAAAAGTGAAGCAGCCAAGCCACAGTAAATGAGTTTCTACAGATGGAATTGGATAAATCATCAGTGCTTCCTTGTTGATAAAAATATCATAAGCTTTGCAAGCACTGGAAAATACCATATTTTAAAAGCTAGGTGAACTCAGGAATATATATTTATGTAACACTGACCATACCTCTTTCCCTCTAGATTTCATGTTACAATGAACATGCATACACCAGTCACAAAATAATAGCAGAACAACTTTTTAATTCTCCAAATAAAGARGCCTATCAGTACCCTTGGGCAGCACATCGGGAGAGCACTGTCCTGGGAGTCTGTGGACATGGGCTCACAGCCAGGCCCTACTCTGTGCTTACTTACCAGCTTTTCTGATGCTTCAGAAGCTAAGGGATAACACACATATTCTCTTACCCACCTCTGGAGTTTCACTGACACACCAAGGGAAGAAACCTTTTTTTTTTTTT